AAAAGTGGGCCGATCGAGAGAAAACACTACCTTAGATGGTCCAGGCATGCCCAATGCGGAATATTTGTTTTCTTGATGCCCGAAAATACCCTCTAAGGTGTTTTGGGCAATCAATAATTTCTTTTTCTTTATTTTAATAAATTTTTTGTTTTACTTTTCAAAAGGGGGTGGAGCCTCTAAATCCACCCCTGTCTATGACACCCTGGGATTTACAAGCCTTCATGATTTTAAAAGCAGTTGTGTATTCTACATTATCTCAAAATACAATATTCTGAATACAAGCCACAATATTGCAGTATGTGTCATAGTTTCGTATTGCTGACCAAATGGAGTGCGAATGTATTTGATATTAGTTTACCCTTCCCATGAATGAACATTTTTTTTTCTGAAAAACAAATGCTTGAATACATTAATAGGCATTAAAAATATTTAAAATTCTAAAGAATTTCCAATGGCAATCCTGTGTCCATAGCTTGTTGCTTTTCCCAATCAAAAATATCCTTGGCTTAGAGAAATATGTGGTACTGTAAATATAAATATAGTAATTTGAGTAAGTGCACAGTTGCAGTTTACCCTTCCCCTAAATGAACAATTTTTTTTCCTGAAATACAAATGCTTGAATACAATAATAGGCATTAAAAATATTGATTAAAAAAGAATTTCAATTGACCCTCCTGTTACCAAAGCTTGTTACTTATATTTTATTAAAAAACAAAAATTTAATAGTAATAAATAAGATTTATAGAAAGTGCTCAAGGCATATTTGAGTAAGTGCAAAGATGGTAATATTACATTAATATTATTAATCAAAAATAAATGGAGAACCGTATTAAGTTTGGCTTAGAGAAATATGTAGTAAATATAAATAATAATTAATAGGATTTATAGAAGGTGCTCTATGAATATGTAAATAAATGCAAGTTGGTCATACTATATAATGTTAATGAAAGTGTTTGAGGAATATTTGAATAATTGCACTCAATCATGGTAATATTATAATGTTAATGAAAGTGTTTGAGGAATATTTGAATAAGTGCACATTTATTAATATTATTTTCATATTATTAATTATATACAAATGGAAAACTGTAATAACTTTGGCTTAGAAAAATATGTAGTAAATATAAATACAGTAATAATGATAAATAGGATTTATAGAAAGTGCCCAAGGAATATTTGAATAAGTGTACAATTGGTAATAAATGATTGTTAGTAGTTCGCGGTACTATGTACCATTTATTCCATGTTACTCACTTCCCTTAACATATTCAATTCACATATAGTAATAACATCTTAATGAATGTTGTGTTTACAGAGAAATATAATTAGAAATAATAACATGAAAGGGTCATGTAGTAAGCATAGCTTTAAAGCACATGACCCGTCTGAATTATGCACACATATTTTCTAGATAATCATTCATATAAATGTTGTGGTTCGACTTTAGAAAGATATCGAAAAGGGAGGTACAATCTTCCTTGAGTAGTTTGACTCAGTTGGTAATCAATCACAAGACATCTGTCTTGCATAAAAATATGTGTGCATAATTCAGACGGGTCATGTGCTTTAAAGCTATGCTTACTACATGACCCTTTCATGTTATTATTTCTAATTATTTCCCCACCATGACAAAAGGAAGTACAGTAACTGACAATTTTTCAAAAAACAGGTTTTTTAGTAGCTATCAACGAACAAATAATTTGGAACATATTGATATATTTGAGTATGCTCAAATCCCACTAATTAACAAGTAATTAGCAATACAAAAAGGAAGTAAGAGACTAAAAATACAGTAAAAACCACCAGAATAGGAAGCAGGTGACAAAATCAACATGCTCTATATTCCTTAATTACTCAATGCAATGCAAACAACAGTTGCTTCCTTTTGTCAAGGCGGGGCAGTATAGCATTCAATGTTTTATTTGCACATAGACCAAAGCGAACTATACGAAACAAAACCCTGCAAAATATACATTCTAAGCAAGAATTATATAATGCGTTATAATTATATAGTATATCGAGCATAACAACATTAGGCAAGTTAATACAATTTAACAACAATTCTGATATAACCTGGCAACACACCAACATCAGAAACAATTTGATGATTAAATAGCATAGCCTAAATGGTGTAATAACTTGTATTTACCTCAAGCTAGAGTCTGCTTAATTCACCAGTCTGTAAACTACGACTATTGAACACTCCAACAACACTTCTGAAACTACAGACTATTGGACACTCCAACAGCACTTCGGAAACTACAGACTATTGAACACTCCAACAACACTTCTGAAACTACAGACTATTGAACACTCCAACTACACTTCTGAAACTACAGACTATTGAACACTCCAACAACACTTCTGAAACTACAGACTAATAATGGCTACCAAAACTTCTGTAGCTTCAGACTATTACTGGCCACCAAGCTAACAGTATATTAATCACTAAACAAGGATATAACAATTATAAGTAATAACAATTACTCTCCATAGCGGAATGTAGAATAAGAACAATATTAACTTATGTAAATGTATAGCACAATAATATCCACAATACATTCAATACCAGCATTAGTACATATTATAATATAACATGCTTATAACTTATTGTATCAATGCACACATATCATTAAATTGAATTAACTACAGATTATAATATACACTTACATCATGGACTTCAGAACTGCATACTGCCAAAATAATGTGTGCAGGGCTTGCAGCGGAACAAACGAGAATTCGAATATGACAATACAATAACAATAAAGCAAACAATAATAGTTGAAGCGCAATCCCATCGCACGAACAAATTGCTATTCACTATTTTTATTATTATAAGATCACATTAATATCATGTTACATATTTATTGATTAAGTAGGTTCAAATACATTTAAAAAAAACTCCAATTCTATTGCTTTTTTTCATGTGGTCAGGTAAGCTATTCCATGTTGTACTACCTCTGTATACTACACTTTGCTGTCCTACATTAATTCTTCTTATAGGTATTTGGTAATCATGTTTGTTTCTTGTTTGATAATTATGGATGTTTTCCATCTTTTGAAATAAATTATTAAAAACTTTAGAAGTTGATTATTTTAATTTGTTTTACATATAGATCATGAATACTAAGCGAGTTATTTTCTTTAAATAGGCCGCCAATATGATGAAAATAATCAACTTTACACACAATTCTCATTGCTTTCTTTTGAAGCAAATGTAGTTTGTTTAATTCTGTTTGACTAGCTGAGCCCTACACAGTAATTGCATGGTTTATATGTCACGTGGTAATACTAGGGCATTGTAAATTGTTAAAAGTACTCTTTTTGGGAAGAAGTGTTTCAATCTGTTAATCATCGCAATCGCCTTTGAAATTTTAACTGCTACCATGTTAATATAGGTTTTGAATGTAAGTGATTGATCTAACCAAACTCCAAGAAATCTTACTTCTTATACATTTTCTATGATGGACCCGTTATTTACCAGTTCCAGACCGTTTATATCTATAAACGTGTTTCTGCTTTTATAGATGACAAATTTTGTTTCGTTGATATTTAAACCAAACAGAGAGCCGGTCAATTCGTTGTTTCACATTGAGTAGTCGTCCTTTACATCATTGTGTTATAGAAAAATTTTTTTGTCATCAGCAAACTGGATGAATGTTAAATTTTCACATACATTTACAATGTCGTTTATAAACATCAAAAACAACAGAGGGCTCCACACTTTATTTTACTTTTCAGAGAGTTACAGCTCTCAATATTTACATATTGTTCCCTATTACTTAGGTAGCTACGAAACCATTTTAGTGCTATACCTCTTATACAATAATGTTCTAGTCTATCCAGAAGTATGTTGTGGTCTATCGTGTCAAAAATTTTTATTTTTACTGAATTCTTTTTTGTAATACAGTATTCTGATTTTCTAGTTTTAATAAGCGTTGTTAATTTGTTTCTGAATTTTGTGTATTTATTTTTATTTGCGGGAGTTGGTTTTTTTTCTGTATGTACTATACAGGTTGTCTTTAGTTTCAATTGATTTTGCTATTCCCTTTGTAATCCAGGGGCTTTTCTGTTTTTCAGCCTTATATTTAACCTCTTTTATGGGAAACATTTATTGACTAAACCATTCAACATTAATGAATTTTAAAGCATTTTTTCAATTTTTCTCAAAAATCACAAAGGGAAGAAATCCAGTAATCCAGTTGGATGTTCCATCACTAATTTCCAGGAATATCATATTTCGAATTCTCTGATATTATCAATGAGGACATCTCTCAAAAGAGGGCGGTCTTCACCTGAAAGACAAAATATTTCAATTAAAATATGCTCTGTAAACTGATTATCAAAGCCCTGTATCAATTGAACCATTAATTCGTTTTAGGTTGGTTATTGTAGAAGCAGTTTGGCGAAGTTGGAATGGTTAGGTTTTTTAGAAATATTGCTACTAGCGGCCACTCTAAGTTGAGTATTATATTCTCATTCGCTTCTCACTACTGAAACTGGACTGGAGATAAGCAACAGCCACTGGACTGGAGATAAGCAATAGCCCCTATGGCTTAAGAAAGCATTTACTCTCTGTGGCGTAGCTAGAGGTTTTGGCGCTCGGGGGAAGGAATAGGAAATTGTGCCTCCCCTCCAATAATAATTATGTTATTTGTAAATAAATTTATATTGGTTGTATAGGCTTTAAGCATATCAGTACTGTACATCCGTACCATGCACTGTAAAAATAAACAAACTGTGTAAATAACATTATTTAAACACGAATAACTATTATTCTCTAATAGGCCTTGATTGTATGGTCTTTCTCTAACTGTTGAAAGTGTATTACGATGTTTGCAACTTTGTATACAACTTTACCGTTATCCTAATTTGTAAGGCTGTTGTATTTATCGCATACAGCTTAGTCTATAAATTTATCTTATAGTAGAGTCATGTAAGTTGCTGAATTTGTAACATTGTTTAAACGTGCAACTGCATTTTGCGTGTTTGCATCAGCAAATAAGTTGATAACATGATCAAAGTTCATTGCTTCATTGCACTCCACACTAAGGAGTGCCAAAGCAGCTCCTCGCTTGTCCCATTGTGGCTCTGAGGTATGGCAGTATGAGCTTGAGCTTGCTGAATGAGCGCTCACAACTAGCCATTGAAATTATAGCTACTGTCAACATGATTCGAATTGCTACTCGCAAGTTTGGAGAAACATTCTTATCACCGTACTGTACAATAAACTGAGTTCCACTGTGTATCAACATTTATAAATTTGCCAATAAAAACAACCACATTCAGATTCTAATTATAAACTAGAAAATATTCATGCCTGACGGCACATCAATTTCGTCATGTTTTTCTAAAAAGTGCTTATTATTTTTTTTACTCTCATACTGTCTTGCGAAAGGAGAAAGCGAGCAGTGTGACGAGCCTCAGTCTCAAACACCCAACCTTCCGATTGAAAGTCCAATGCCTTACACGCTGCGTCACACATTTTCACATTAATATTATTTTGTTATTTTTGCACTACCTGACAATGTTACTATCTTGCACATGCGCCTACAATTTGGATCATCATCAACTAATTCCTGGAGATATCTCACAAGCAGACGGCATTGTTCTTTCAGCAGCTTTTTGTCTACTGGCTTCGAATCAGACATCTGGAACAATGTGTCGATGATCGTTACATACTCGCAGATTGCAAAATATGACTGGAAAAATTTGAAAAATAAAATTTCAAGAATCAGTAAAGCATTCTAAAGCTCTGTCTAAACTATCTGTCTAACAAAAACATGTGGTATGCCCATATTTGGGTGTAATATGACATCATCATCCCTATATATGTTACTAGTCAAGCACATCATTTATAATTGAATACATTACCTTCTTTCACTTTTTCAATTTTTTTTTTACACAATTCATATACATTATTATTTTGCAAATCCTAAAATTTCTGCCAGTAAGGAGTTTTACAGAGAAAATAGTAAATCATAATTGTTTTTTATTTGGCTTATTGAAAAAGTTTACAACTTACAGTGACTTGGGTCAGGGGGGCCCAAGTGGATGTTTGATTTAACACTGAGGGCTTTTATACTGCTTTACGCTCAGTTTTAATATTACTTTTTACAGACGATCCTGTTTTAACCAGTTTTTACTGATGAAATATGTCCGGTTGTAACAGTGACACAGAGTTTTAGACAGATGTGGCTGCGCTGTCCACCTCGGTAGGGGTGCAAGGGCGAAACCCCCTTAAATTTCTAGCACCTTTATTAATTTGAATTTTTATTGTTTTTATTTTCTTGATATTTATTATAATTTTTCTTCTAAGCTTTATTCTTTTTCTTTGAGAGAAAATTGCCCTAAACCAATGACATTGTTAAAAGGCTGTAAAGATTGAGGCAAGCCTTAATGCAAATGATTATTTTTATAAGCTCTGCTTTTGTAATTGTACAGTAAATGTTTTATAACATGAAGGTTACGATCATAAACACTTACATGGCCATCAGCATTCTGAATTTTGTACACAGAGTGGACATATGGTCGCTCTTTGACACCAGCTCTATCAACTAACAATGTTGGTAGCTTATCCTCAAATTCAATTCCTTCATGTAGAGGGCTTTCTCCGAGTTTAGAAGGAATTTTACAGTTGAGCGGCACAATGGCAAAAAATTTGCATGGCAAGTTCATAGCCTCCATCTCTGTTTTCCATCTATCGTCTTTACTTATAGTCTCTTTCAGTTCTTAGGAAAAATGATCAGTACACATTTCAGAAAGATTTTTCGATGACATCTGACAGTGATTTAGATTCTTTCCAATCAGTGTAATTCTGCCTCATATTTTTGTTGTGCAATGGATACAGTGTGTTACAGTGTGTAATGTTTCTCTTTTTTATAATTAATGTTTTTTATAATATAAATTTGTCATATATTCAAATAAGTATTAATACTATGTTTATTAATAAAATAATAATAATAGTTTATATAGCACAATTAAACAACTTTTCTATGTGCTCGACAATAGGTAAGAAGACAACAAAAAAAGACAATGAAAAGCAAGGAAATGACAAAAAAAATTACCAAGCTAGCACCCTTACTGTAGTATGGGGTTACACCATCACCTATGAGCCTATAAACTAGCATAGACCTAATGATAGGTGTATTGTAAACTTTATCGAACATAATTCAATATTTTAAAATGTGAATTTAGGTGGTCTTCACAATTCTGGAATTGGATAAAAAAAAATTATTAATTTGTTCTACTGTACTGCTAAAAATTATTCTGATTCTAAAGAATATTATTCCACTTTTTATCCTAGCAATAACTTTGTAAATTTAATATTTATTTCTTGTTCATTTTTTTTGCTACTTGTTTTAAATCTTTCCTATATTAAATAATTAATATTTCTATTAGATTAATTGTAATAAAAATGAATTTAAAATGCAATGTATTGTATATTTGACAAATAAATGCTGTGGATTTCAGTGCATTCAATTTCATTATTTAGAAGGCTGTAAAAGATGCAAAGTTATAAATTTCCAGTAGGCCTAAACCAACTTACTTGGTAGGATGATCCTCAAGTATCCAGTGAAGTAGCTCCATGCCATGCCTTGCGCAACATTTGTGTTACTTGATTCATGGATCTCACTTACCTCAACTATCGACAGTGTCTGTAAGATAAAGCATATCCAACCTCATGTTATTTCAGATAACATCTAATGCACTTTCCAGGATATTTTTTTTTAATGTATCAAACAATGGGTAGTGTATAAGGCCCACAAATATTGTGTCCAGGATGGGACTGCTGATTTCCCCAACAACAGGACCCTTAAAGGAGGGTTAGAGTTAAAGTTAAACCCTTTTTGGTTTAACTCTTTATTTAGGATTTGAAAGGCATAATTTGATCAAATGTAAAGTATCACATTGTGTAAATGTGTACTTTTTTTCCATGTAATAAGCCATGAAATTGTTTGCATCTAGGGCTGAAGTAGTTCAAACTACAAAGCTCAACAACATTTGCAAGCCAGGGTATCCTAAGCATGGTCGACCAATGGTCAGTGCTTGGTTCGAAGAACACAAGGTTCAGAACCTAAATGGAAATAACTGCTAAACCACCTTGTGTTAATACATTTTGGTGGAATTCTAATTACTTTTTTAAAAACGTAATAAGGGCAGTAGGGTTTATTTTTATTTTTTTCGTCGAAACAACAGAATGTTGCTTTTAAGAGGAAGGGACTGTTTTCATTTAGCACAAATATTTTAAATATTTTATAAAAACTGGTTTAATTTATTGTTTTTTAAAGAAAGTGTATTTCCAGTCACAAAATTGCACATTTTTTTATGCAGTGTTGAAATAAATTATGAAGCATTTTTTTTATTCGCATCAATATTTTACACATTTTTGACGTAGGTGGACGTGACTATCTAACAGTTTTTTCTATGTGTAATGTTTATCAACTTAATTTTGAATGATTGTCATTTTGCCTTTACATTTGCTAATAAATCTGAAATGTTTTTTAGAGTAACAAGTAACAATTCCCGATTAATTGTTTTTGCTTTGCAATTACTTATACTATATGTGACATCTATGAAGTTTTAATGGTTTAAAATACTAACAATATGCTGGGTGAATGCATAACTTTTCAAAGATGGTTAGAGTGTTTATTAATAATTTTTTAAGAGCATTTACACAGAAAAAAAATACTTATGAAAGTGCCCTTTAAAGAGCCTGTTTGCTGACTTACAGTAAATAATTTAGTATTGTAAGCTTATTTCCCTCGAATTTTGAAGCACTGAAATTTAACAAGCACTGCACTAGACTTGCCACAAATCTCTTATTTTTTATTATTTTTCTCATTCTGGACAGCGCCACCAACAAGAAAGTTAATTTAGAGATAGACGGAATAATCGAGTATGGGACGCCAATTAAATTAGGTATGGCGCGCACTAAGTGCAATAAAGAGTGAGTAACCTAAAATTAGGGCCTGGAACCCAGGCTAGCACTGCACCAACAAGGATATTTTTTTTTTCACTAAACACTGCTTTTGAACAATTTCCATAGGTGCTAAGGCATTTTAGTACTCTACCATAACCCCAACCTTAACCACAACAGCAGTCCTGCTATCTTAATGTTAAGGCTAGAGATAGGGTGAGTACTAAAATGCATTAGCGCCGTTCCATAGTACTTATTACAGATATTCTACAAATAAATGTGCTGGTGCTAGTACTGTACAACTGATTTATGGCATTCTTTTAGATAAATTTATTTTGCACAAACCTTAAAACCAAACGCATAGTTTGTAATCAGGGTGACACCAACTGATGATATGAATGATAGCAAGTACAACTTGAGGTTCACATGCTCATAAACTTCAACATCAATCACCATGAAGTACATGATAACCATCAAAATATATGCTCCGGCTGATCTTTTGGTGAAGAACGCCTGGAAGCAGCTCTTGAAAGTCTGCCAGTACGAATTGTCATGGCGACTGCTAACATGCCGGAATTCCTCAGTGAACACGCAAAAGCATTCAATGAATTTTCCACAGATAGCGCCACAAAACGTGAAAAACAAAGCGAGGACACAGTGATACTTGTGAATTGGAGTATCTTTACAATTCTCGGCAGAATGGTTGAGACAAGCATGGAGTGCTCTCTTTAAGCTTTCTGGTTGCTCAGACTGGACTTCAATTAAATAGTAGATGATGAATAACACAATAAAAATACTTGCTGTCACCCCTGCCAAAATGCCTCGCTTTTTTGGTATCTCTCCGAACCCATTGGCTTCCAAGGGTGGATTCCTATGAAAAGTAAATCCAAATTAAAAACAATAAATAGTGTTAAATATGATTACATTTCGGTAATTTGTATCTTGACAAAAGTTGATGATAACAGAAAGTGTTTTGATATAATAGCTCTATTAAATTTACAAACACTTACCCCTGAATTATATTATTCAACCAGTTCCACATTTCACAGTGTTAATTTTCTGCTGATATCCAAGTGAGCTTATTCTGAAAAGTTACCAAAATAACATAATTATAGGAAATAAAGAAGATCTGACTATTCTTTTGAACATAATAATTTCTGCAGCTTGTTAATGTGTAGTGTCATTGGTTTTTTAATACATTTTTTTTATTTTACCGGCTTATATAAATTTCATTAATTCTATGATAACGCAATCCAAACTAAGTATAATTTACTTTTGTAAAAACAAAGTTGTAGGTACTAACCAGAGAGAATCAGACAAAACCACCATGGAAAATAAGCATCGGACAATGACCACCCATAAAGGACTATAGTCCTTTATGGGTGGTCATTGTCCGATGCTTATTAAAACGAATGGAAGAATTCATGCACACAGTGATTACTGAAACCTACAATGCTTATGTCAAAAGAATCAAAATAACTAAAGGAAATCACAGTGTAACCTATCCTACTGAATAAAAACAAGCTAACCCAAGACTGTCCATCCCACTGCCCACCCCACTTAAACAATGGTATACCATTGTTTAAGTGGGGTGGGCAGTGGGATGGACAGTCTTGGGTTAGCTTGTTTTTATTCAGTAGGCCCATTGTTTAAGTGGGGTGGGCAGTGGGATGGACAGTCTTGGGTTAGCTTGTTTTTATTCAGTAGGATAGGTTACACTGTGACTTCCTTTAGTTATTTTGATTCTTTTGACATAAGCATTGTAGGTTTCAGTAATCACTGTGTGCATGAATTCTTCCATTCGTTTTAATGACTGTAACACAACACAAAGTTCTAATACATTAATAACATTTTTTATGGTTATTATAACCATAAAAAATGGTTTAATTTGATAAAATTGAATTAAACTACTATAATAGTAGTTTAATTCAATATTATTTTAGAAATTCAACATATCGTGGCCCAGAGGCCAAAGTACAAGTTAAAATATTTCAAGGAGCAGCAGTATAAAATAGACATAAAAATAGAAACATATAAAAATGCAAAATATATAGAAACATCAGAAAAAGTACAATAATACACTAAACTGAGATACATACAAGAATAAAACAACCCAAATGACCAGGAAACAAAATGCAGATCAAAATATAGCATTAAAGAAAACGATGAACAACATCAAAATGGTAAACAATTCAATTGTCATGGTTTAATTATTATTATTATTACTATTATTATTATTATTATTATTATTATTTATAATATTATTATTGTTATTATTATTATCATCCATATTATAATCAAATTCAGAATTATCAACCCACATAACAAAGTACCATTTATGATTAATAAACTGTGCTATAATATTTCCTAGTATTTTAGTATTGTAACTTTATTTTTATTTATAAAAGGTCTTTTCAACAAACATAACTTATCCATCAAATTTGAAATGGTTGATACTTCTTTAACCAAATATGCAAAGTAGATTAAGTCCAACTCATATATTTATGTATCTGCTAATTCATCTTAATCACCCTTTTTAAAATTTATTAACTCTCTTGCTTTTTGCAATTGTTCCTATTATTATTAATGTAATTTACATTTTGAATGAAATAACAGCTATTTTGAATTGATATATCTATATAGATATTATTAAGGAGAGCATACTTAGTTTGTAGTTATTATTTGTCTACTTTTTGCTAACCCTTTTTTATTTTTAATGACAGGCCTACATACATTAATTTCTAAAAACTGTTATCAAATATAGGCCTATTTATTTAAAGTACAATACTACTTAATTATTGTATTGTTTGATTTTGATTTTGAAATAAAACACTTAAATGACACTACTGCCACCGCTTTTTAACAGTGGTATAGTCTATTTTGGGTGGTTTTGTCCGAGTGGGTTATAATCGAGGGTGTTTTGCTTTTTTACATTCTAGACTTCTTGTATCCCATATTTTCGCGGGAATACATCAAAAACTAGCTCAAATTTGTGTGGATATGAACACTGGAAAAGGGGCGCAGAATCGTAGAATTCAGTCATTATTTTGTCAAGAGATGGTCAAGGCATAATTTTCGGAAAATCTGCGTGAATATCGGGCTTTATATTTTCCGAAATGCGCCGACGAATTTCCGTTATTAGGCTAAATTTTTGCGCGTAGGATATAGGCCTATTCCGTGCCTATTCCCCGCGCAGGCCTTATTTTACCGAATAGAACTCAGTGGCTAAATGCCATAATAACTACAAAACAATTTTAAACAATTCTTGAAAAAATACAAAGTAAAAAGTACTAAAAACATAAATCATACCGAAGAAGTAGCAAAAAAAAAACAAAAAAAAACATAAGCATGAAGACCTGACCAATCCACGTCAGTACAAGAGAGCATTGATGTTGCATATTATATCTTACCAACGATAGAATTCAGTTAGTAGGTAAGAACTGTAAATAATAGAAATATAGATTTTTTGCTATCTAATCTGGATGTTTTTATATTACCTACAGTTATCCACTAAACAAACGTAAAATATACAAACGTATACAACTCAGCCGATCTATTGGTACCGTCAAACAGAATACTGTATTGATATTTCGTTTAAGGTGTGGTTTTTCTATCTGTGCTAAAAATAAATGACAAAGGGCATGCGTTGTGAGCACATAAATATTCAACAACATTATAATAATAAATGACGATATTATTATAACAATAATGCGACTCAAAGAAAACAAAATGGCTGGCTGACAAACACACACACACACACATTAAAAAAATGTAATTGTTATTCAAAGCGAGTGACTCGCCACCTAAAGGATGGAAGTGGAGTTTATATAGGCCTACTGTGAGGCTAACTACGAGTTATGTTTTTGTATAAGAGAGGAAATTAATCATGGATGTTTTTTCACATTTTGTTTTCATCCAACATGATTTATCTGATGAATGATGCTATGTGGCATGCTTTGAACTTTTTGAATTTTGAAGGCACGCGCATCCGTCAGGAACGGATCTGGGGGAATCGGCGTATGGGTTCGCCCCTCTAAATATTACTCGCGCCCCTTCTCCAGTCGTTCCCCCTCAAAATCACTTGCAATTAATTAAAAAATCACATAAAATCATCTTATTTTTCGAGTTGGCGCCCCTCAGCTGATCATCACTTCATCTACTCGCCACCCCCCCCCCCCCCACACCAATCAATTCTATGGAGGGTGTTTAGTTTTTTTACATTCAACTAGACTTCTTTGTATCCCATATATTCGCGGGAATACATCAAAAACTAGCTCAAATTTGTGTGGATATAAACACTGCAAAAGGGGCGCAGAATAGCAAAATGCAGTCATTATTTTGTCAAGAGATGGTCAAGGCCTAATTTTCGGAAAAATCTGCGTGAATATCGGCCATTATATTTTCCGACGAATTTCCGTTAGTAGGCCAAATTTTTGCGCGTAGGGTACAGGCCTATTCCCCGCGCAGGCCTTATTTTACCGATTGGAACTCAGTGACTCATTGCCATAATAACTACAAAACAATTTTAAACAATTCTTGAAAAAAAAAATACAAAGTAAAAAGTACTTGCAAAACATAAATTAAATCATACCGAAGAAGTAACAAAAAAAAACAAAAACATAAGCATGAAGACCTGAGCAACTCCACGTCAGTACAAGAGAGCACTGATGTTGCATATTATATCTCACCAACGATAAAATTCAGTTAGAAAGAACTGTAATTAATAGAAATATAGACTTTTTGCTATCTAATCTGAATGTTTTTATATTATCTACAGCTACTCACTAAACAAAAGTAAAATATACAAACGTATACAGCTCAGCCGATCAATTGGTACCGTCAAAGAGCATACGGATTTTCGTTTGAGGTGTGGTTTTTCTATCTGTGCTAAAAATGACAAAGTCGAAAGAGGGCAGGCTTTGTAAGCACAAAAATCAACAACATTATAATAATAAATGACGATATTATTATAACAATAATGCGACTCAAAGAAAACAAAATGGTTGGCTGACACACACACACACACACACACACACATTATAAAAATGTAATTGTTATTCAAAGCGAGTGACTCGCCACCTGAAGAATGGAAGTGGAGTTTATATAGGCCTACTGTGAGGCTAACTACGAGTTATGTTTATGTTATAAGAGAGAAAATTAATCATGGATGTGTTTTTGCACATATTGTTTTCATCCAGCATGATTTATCTGATGAATGATGCTATGTGGCATGGAGTTGCTTTGAACTTAGAACCAATTTTGAAGGCACGCGCATCCGTCAGGAACGGATCTGGGCGAATCGGCGTATCTAGTGGGTTCGCCCCTCTAAATATTACTCGCGCCCCTCCCCCAGTCGTTCCCTCTCAAAATCACTTGCAAGTAGTTAAAAATCACCTAAAATCACCTTATTTTGCGAGTTAGCGCCCCTCAGCTGATCATCACTTCACCTTTTTTTTGTCACCGGAAATTATATGGCACCAGACCAAAAAAAAAAAAATTTTTGCCCAGGCTCAGTGTTCTTATTTTTTGGAAGATTTCAGGCTCAAAATGTTCTTCGGTTCTTTTGTTTTTATTTTACGCACTTTTTGAATTTCAGAGTATTACAGTATTTTGTGAGTGGAAATGAAGTCTAATTTAAGATCAAACAGGACTAGGGAGATAGAGGGAGCACACAAAATATTAGTTAGCATTTTGATTTCACAATGAAGGTGATTTACTGAATTTATCATTACCAGGAAAGCAAAATAGAGGGGGGACAGGGAGGGACTTGCACAATTTTGGAAAGTAGATCACCTTAGCCCCACCATGGTTGTTGGGGGCTGAGGAAAGAAAATTTATGATTATGACACCTCTAGTTGGTCAAAAATGGCACTCTCAGACTGAATTTGAATATAATTTTCATTTTTTCCACTTTCAAATCGAAAAAAAAGGGGGGATGGTGTGCCGGCTGGGCCCCTTGAATCTGCCACTGAAATACTCATAAAAAGTTTTTAAAATTATCCTTCTAGTCATAATTATGCCCGCTTATATATTTCGTGCAAACCAACATTCATAAAAATAATGGTTTATTATCTACTGATTAGCTTGTGACGTATTCAAAATTCGAACCATGAAAAACAAATAAGCTTAAAACAGACATTAATTTTAATAGTCTTTTTGCATGTACAGTACTTTTAAAATCAATCAAGAGTTTTTTTGCTTTTCACCTCTTTTGTGTAAGTAATATTGCGACTACACTATAATTGTGAGTGGAAATAATGCCGTCTAATTTACGATAAAATAGGACTAAGGCGATAGGGAGCACACAAGCATTTTGATTTCACAATAAATTTGTGATTTACTTAATTTATCATTACCGGGAAAAGAAAATAGAGGGGGGGACAGGGTGGGACTTGCACAATTTTGGAAAGTAGATCACCTCAGCCCCACCATGGTTGGGGCTGAGGAAAGAAAATTTATGATTATGACACCTCTAGATTGCCGGAAATGGCACTGTCAGACCTAAATCCTAATTATAATTTTCCTTTGTGTTTTCCTTTTTTTTTTTAAATAATTTTGAAAAATTTAGGGTCGGCTCGGCCCCACTTGAATCCGTGACTGATTATTATGACGTCATTGCGAGATTGCGTCAACGTAACATGTCCGTGTCAAAGGCTGTATAATTATTGTTTAATAATGGCTATATAAAATTCAATTGACTAACTATAATTTTTTGAAATTAGGAAAAACAGTAATCCGTTGTATGTAGAAAATATTAAACACTAGTATATACGTACGGGGCATAATAATATACAAAAGGAATAAATCGTTTATAGTAGAAATTGTGCACTTTTAAGTTTATAAAAATATTGGCCTAATAAGTATACACGCTTCCAATTTTAACAATGTTCAGTAAATTGTTTTCACAATAAATTTAGCCTCTGATAACTGCTGCACCGATAAAATCGATCTAGTGGTTTCTGAGATGGTTACGAAATGTATAAACAATTGCGTTTTTACACTCGGTTTTGGACCGGAAAATACGTACCGCACTTGGAAAAGTGAAAAGAAAAAATTCATAAGTCATGCGTAATTGTTATTCTTTCCATTCACTTTCAAAAGTGGGGTTTCAATTATAGAAGATTGGTGAAAAGTGGAGGGGGGACAATCGATATGATGGTCCCCCCCCCCCTACTTTGAAATGTGGGGGACGTGTCCCCCACGCCCATGCCATGCAGTCATCATCATCAAAAATGATTTGCACATTATAATGATGATTATCCTGATGATGTTCTGATAAGCAACTCATTTTCCTGGGTGACCTGATCAGCAGTGCAAAAAGGTCCCATAACAGTCACCGCCAGGGCCCCACAAACTCTGTGACGCCACTGTCGATAATTATAATGAAACGATAATCGTAAACAACAATTATAACGAAAGGATAATCACAACAAAACGACAATCCTGGCGACAATCACAAGGAAAAACGAATGAGAATCAATAAATGTTGAATCTTTTAAAAAACTACTGAAAACATATCTTTTTTCAAAACTAACTTGAGCTAATTGCTTCAAATCATTATTCAACTCTGTAAACGCTATGACATAGTTTTCTATGAATAGCGTATATAAATACTAATACTAATACTAAATAGGAGAAAATTGAATCATTTATATATGGTGTTTGATTTTCAAAGGTGAAAAAGATCAAATTTGATTAACACATTTAATTGTACCTTTTTATTAATTAAATGATACTGTAACTGTCATTATGATACTTAGGAAAAATTTTAGCAGGAAACAGAAAATCAGTTTTTAGATTTATACAAATTGACCATGATTTCAACCCATTGCAATGCTTATACCACATTTTTGTTTTTATAAATTTAAAGCCTTGATTGATTTTCACACTTCAGATTCGACATGTCTCTGTCACACTCACAGTTATCTGCTTCACTTCACAACATCCTGCAGTATTATTGACCATGAGAAAACATGTTGGGTCAAAATATGATTCCTTTTCTTAATATTGCAGTGGCGGAGATGGGGAAGTGGGATTTTCCCTCTCCCCCAATAATTTTCTTCCCACCACAAAAAAAAAAAAAAAGAAAAGAAAAACCACCATTTGTCGGAGATAAAAAAAAAAGTACTTTCTACATATTAGTATTTTCTACAATTTGTCCACCACTTCTTTTATTATTTATAACATGCTGTAACAGATCAACGATTTAGAAATGCTTTCCTAAAAACAATCCTTAAATTCAGTAGACGAAAAAACAAACAAAATCAAATAAGCTATATGTTACTACTTAACAAGTACTTTTTAAATTTTGATTTTTGTAGTCTTTTCCATGCAAAATTATGTCCTAGTATTACACTACACTATAAAGATGATGATAATATTTTTTCCAAAGTATCAGGTCTGAATAAAACTGGTGTGCTACAATTGAGCAACTTAAAATACAGTAAAATATAAAATCAAATTGTAGGCTGGATTTCAATCATAATGTATTCATATAGAATTTTGTATTGTTATAAATTCAGCGTCTGTTTTTGTTACGTTGTTGAATTTGGATGGGAATTAAATCCCACAACAATACAATACTATTGAACGCCATGCAAATAAGTATTATGGAACGCCATCGG